TCTGTTATTATGAAGAAGAAATCAACGAAAGAGTTCCCTAAACTCTTAGGACAATTTAGACAACAATTTTGTCGATAAGACACCGTAATTGAAAATCAGTAAAGACATAGTTCATTCTTGAATGATGCTCTTTTTTTCTCGAGTAATTTTTATCAACTAATTTGTTAACTGTAACTACTTTATAATACTAAGCCAAAGTTTAAATATTTTTAGACAAATTTAATAAACAAGTTTATGAAATAAAATTAAATTGCCAGAATACACTTTGTATATTTTACACAAATTTATAACAACAACAAAGATAAGTTTTGAAAGAATAAAATGTTCTGCAAATTAAGTGCAGAAATTCTTACAGTTTTACTTGTAATATTGATATGGTTAAAAACTTATAAAAAAATACTGGCCAAAAATACTGAAAATATGCAGAGAAGAAACATTGCTGCTATTTTTTCTTTTTAGAATTTCTGACAGTTAATGGTTTGAATAAAACCAACTAACTATTTAAGTAATTTACTTGAATCCTGCTCCTGACAAATGTTCTCCAAATAGTCCGACTAATTTGTACTCTACAGATTAATCCTACTAATATGACTGTCTACTGAAAATCACAGTTACCTTAACCACTTTCTTTTCTCACTCCTTTTATCCTCTTTCTCCTCCTTCCCGTCACTTCGCATTAACTGAAAACGAGCAGACATAAGTTTTTTCCAGAAAATTTAAAAAAAATTTTTTTTTTTGCCTAGCATTTAGTCAATGACTATTGTAGCATACAAAAGAATTCTGAAATTAAAGTTACCACAAATTTAATCAGAATTAAATTTGAATTCGACAGAAGAAAATTAGGAACAGAGGAATGCAAATGAAACAGTAATACTGATACAGTTGAAAGACTAAACGAAAAAAAAAAAGACTTAAAAACAGTGTTTTTAAATGACAAAAATTTTTTCTTCTCTTTTTTATATTTTAGTGCTTCAAAAATAGACTTCTAAGATAGTCTTTTTTTTTCTATATAACACTAAGTTTTTTCTTGTTTTCATTTTTTCTTTTGTTCATTAAATATTGAATGAATTTGTTTGCAATTTGATAGGTCAAAATTTGAGCCAATTAGTGGTACATCCAACCATTTATGATTTAACAAGCAGTTGTTTTTAGACTCCTTTTTTTATGTCTAAACTTTAAAGTTAGAATTTATCTATAACGCCAATTGATTCCAATGACAGATGGATACAAAATTAGAAAGGAAAAAGACGTAGCTGAATGATAGAATAAATTTTTTTTTTTTGGATTCTTGTAAGAAGATTATTTTTTTGTTCCTTGTTTTTCTTCTTCAACTAAACTAAATTCACTGAATAACCAAATGATTCTGTTGCAAGAAAAAAAAAAGAAGAAAGAAAAACGAGAAAGAAAGACAATAGCAGAATCGTAAAAAAAAAGTTAAAATGAAAGCATAACAAAGTGACGGTAAATAATTGTGGGGTGAAAGAAGTTGAATCCAAAAAAAAAAAAAAAAAAAAAAAAAAAAAAA